TCTTCCTTGCTTCCTTCCTTCCTCCCTCTGTTCCTTCCTTCCTTCCTTCCTGCCTTCCTGCCTTTCTCCCTTCCTCCCTTCCTCCCTTCCTCCCTCCCTCCCTCCTTCCCTTCCCCCAGCCGCCGGACAAAAAAGGAGGTCCAAAAACAAGACCCAAAAACACTGGGTTACCATCCAGCCAAGACTCACATCTGCAGGCTGTGACGACTTCGCAGCAACCATGAGCAAGGTCTGGGTGTCGTAGTAGCCTGCGGTTCGGAAGCACAAAGGTATGGACAGCACGCTCTTTCACCAACGATACACTGATTAATTCAGGCTTTGAGTTTAGCATCAACATCTGTGCCAGCCCAGCTTGGTCAATGCATGCTTTTGTCGTCTGATGCAATTCAGGCAATCACCAGGGACCCTGAGCTCCACAACACGATGCCTAGTTCACCCATACCACGCATTCGCCGGTTCGGGTCGCCCCCTCAGTCTCAGGATTGGGCGTGCATTGCCGCTGCAGGGGAGAGGACCGCAACTGCAAGCAGGCTGCAAGGCACTGAACGCTTCGGGATTCTGCAAAAGCGTAGGCAGAGACACAAAGGCAGGCCATCAATGTCGGGCTCTGGCCATAAGGCTATCAGCACGAGTCATTTACGACTGCTGACAAGGCACTCTTCTCAACCAATCTGCGCAGGATATTCACAGCCCCGGCAAAGACAGCTGTTGCCTCAAATCGATGCGCAGCTTAGCTGCGTGCAGTCTTAAACATGTCTCCAACGGTGTCAATAATCAAGAGGGTCTCTGAATAATGTGCTTCTTTTTGCAGCCGCTGAGACCATGCCATCCATACCGCTGTCATCGTTTATTGCCGCCTTTCGTGGCTTGTTCCTACTTGCTTCGCCGCAGCAACGCTGAGCAAAGTTGGGTTTTGGAGCTCGGCGACAGGGACAGCCAGAAAGTGTTCCAAGAGGCATCAGCACATGCTCTTCGGAATGCATCACGCACAAGTAGCATAAGGGGACTCACAACTGGCGTTCGCCCTGTTGTGGGAAGCTGAGACATTACTCAAATACCGGCTCACCAGCCTCAACACTCTCAAAGTTGAAGCTGGACAAGAAGGCGTCGAGGCTCAGGTCCTGAAGTACGAGGAACAAATCACAAACCTTCGCTCCGCAAGGATTTGGCAAACAGTATGAACTGCTGAAAGCATACGGTACTCCGTTCTCCTGCCGCGGCTGACCGAGCAGCTTGTTGCGCATGGCCTCCAGACTCGCAGCGCAACGGTTCGGCTGGGACACTGCTTCTGGCCAGTGAAACAAAAAACTCGGCCCTACCTTGCGAAGTAAGTACTGGCAAACCGGTGTTTGTTCAAGTCAATCTCCTCAGAGCCAACCCTGCCTTGTAGAAGCGGTATCCCTTCAGCCTTGGATCTTACACCCCGGCAGGCAGGCCAACACTCAGAGGACAGTCCATCGCAGAGCAAGCACGGCACTCTGCGGTCAACTCCCAGGCATCTCGATGTTCATTCTTCTCTGCCAGTCTTTTCTTCCAAGGGACGGGCCCTCGACGGCCAAATGTTGAATCTTACCTCGGGGCCGAAGCCCAAAGTGCGAACATGGCAGCACCACTGTGCATCCTTCATGGAAACACATTCATGCGCCGGTGTCGCTGGTCTCTTGCGGACCATTTATTTCGCAACTATATTCAGGGAAGTTCAGGTTCCCGGTCCAAGCCAGACCAGTAGTTACAAGTAGGACAAGCGAACCAACCAAAGCATCTTAACTTCCCGGTTGCTTTCGACTGCCATCTCACCCAGTTGAACCACACATTCGCGATCACTCTCCTTAGTTTGCTGCATCCGCTCTCGGATTCGCGCTTCAACCAGGCGATATGACAGAGCTAATTACATCACATTAGAGCCGTCCTATGTGCTGTTTCCAGCTGCTAGGTTCGGCAATCTCTGACCGGACCATCATCTGCGCACACTTGCATCTGCAACATGCACTTGTAAAGCACGACCTCCACCTTCTCCTGCTGATGTTGCTTGCCGAGCCGCCACGGTGAACTGGCCGTCAGCGATCAGATTTTGTTGCCTATCCGACGAGACAGGCTTCTTTACAAGAACTGCAGGAAGCTGTCAAATCCGGCGAGAAGTGGGGGGACGGGATGCTTGCTGGAGGTCGTTGGAATTTAAAGCTCAAAAATGCAACGAATGAAGGAAGCGTCGAGCGAACTTGCAGAACAGCATGACATCATAACTGTGCGCCAGTATGTAGTCCGGCACGGTTGGGAACTCTACTGTATGGAACCGTCACTCGTCGAGTGTACACCAGACCTATGGAGGTCTGCCATAATGAGTCCAAGCTTCCAATCCAGTGGGAAGATGAACTGAGCTTCCCGAGCCGAGTAAACGACGATCACACTCGTGTTCCTCCTTGCACGGTGCGTCGGTTGGGGGTGGTGGCCTGTGTCTCTTCGATGGACTGAGCTCTAAGAAAAGGATCGGCAACAGTTTGCAGCACGCTTCTCAACCTCGGACCCTGTGAGGCCACGTTGTCGCAAAGACATGGGGCACACAAAACAGAATGACATGATGTGCCAATTATGCTGATTATACTGCTGCAAGCTTGCTGAATCCGAGTAGCTTGTTGGAGAGAAGTCGGCACCACAGCTCAGCGCGGCACCTAGTAGACGTATGTAAACAGCCAGCATGTGGACCGCTGTGCACTTGCAGACAGGCTCTGGCGAATGCTGCAGATGGTTTGACGACATGGACTTTAACGTTTATTCAGTGCATGCACGTCTTACTCCGAGGTACTGGCACTGATGAACTTGGTGGCAGCAAACGGTCCTGGTGTCACTACCTGCCAGACACCATCCAACAACTGAGGTGTCTGCCAGCCACGCGAGAGCCATGAAGTGTAGTTGCAGGGCTTGCCTTGGCTACAAGGCTAGGTTTGACGCTGTTGTACTCAGGTTCGTCCCTTCGTGAGCCAAGCCTTAAACCTTACTTTACCTCTCCTCGCTGCACTTCCAGAGTGCGGGTCCCGGCGTGGGTCAATTCCGGAACCAGGGCAATGAAGAGATCCTGGCTGCTGATCTGGATCCAATGCTGAATCATGGCAGCCCCCAAAAGGGATGAAAACAGGAAATGAGACATCACTCATGATCGTGTCGTGTCGGTTTAACTTTGGGTGACAGCATCCGCAGGATCCACACCGGGGCTGCTTCACAACCACTCTGATTTGACATGGCATAAACCACTGGAGCTCCGCCAACATATCACAGAGTTGGAGCCAATGTTCCGCGCCGTTCGCACGAAAGATTGACTTGGCCCTTTCTCGAATGCCAAGAAAGTAGCGATCGCCCGTTTTCCTGCTGATTATATGGTCCGACTGCCCGAACGATTCGTGATGTGGCTCCATGCACATCATGGGCAAAAAGACATGTAGCAATCAAATCAAGCACGTCCAATGTGATGAACTTCGTCCAAGGATCGGATACTTCCACATACGCCGGGATGCTCTGGACCTTCAAGGAACTCAAGGCGAGCTTGCCAGCATACCCAGACCCGACTCTCGCACACGCATATCACGACAGCTACAGCAGCTACAGTCTGAAGCTTCCACAGATCAGAGGCCACCGCTGCCAGGGCAGCATCGGACTTGGTCACGTTCTCATTTACTCCTGCGGCCGTTTCGACGGACGGACAACTCGCGTCCGGTGCGTGTTTGTGGCATCGTTATCAACGTTCACTACAAACACTTGGCATGACCGCTGCATAATCTGTAGCACTCTCGTCTAAAGCTTGGCCGATGCCATTGGCTCGTGAAAAGCTTTCGCAGCACCAGCATGCACTTTCCATTCTCTGACTCACTGAGTAGCGACACAATCACTTGGACCTTGCTTCCGGGCGGTGATCTGTGGGATTGCGAACCAATCGAAGAAGATATAACCATTGGCGATTTCTTCACAAGAATACGTCCTCGGCGCACGTGATGGGAGATGCTGCATCTGACCGCTAAGACAGCTTCACAACATTCTGCAACGCACAGTCATCCTGGCGACTGCACATGAGACACGCACGCAGATTTGTACACGAAGACCTGGACTGAAACTTCAAAATGCAACACTGCGGAACGACGACATGTTTATGAAGAGCTTCTGGGCCTCGCCTCAAGCCATCATGCTTACCAAGTACACCAGGTTAATGAGACCTGGCTTCTCGCTCCGACACAGCGCTGCGTTGGGTACGTCACTTTTTGCATTTTCTGCACACAGAGACAGACACTCTAGAGCTTGAAGCGAAGCACTGATAATCACTGAATACCGCTGATGGATGAAAGCACATGTCTTTGGGTGGCTATGAAAAGTTGCTGTGCCTACGCATGTGCAGATTGCCGCAACTGTACTGCAACTGTGCAAGTCCGCAAGTAAAGCGCTGGCTGCTGGCTTACAGCCGCGGACAATGTAGTCGCGAGAAACCTTTCACTGATAGGCCAAGTAAGGAAACAGTGTGTTTCTGGCTGGCCTCTGCAGCTACACTTGGTTGATCAAACCACCCTTACCCGTCTTGGAATAGCTTCGCTGGCACAAGTATCGAAAACAGGCCTGTGACACATCTATGGTGCAACTCCTCGTGCTGTTTCCAAAGCAGCGACACGAGCTTTCAATTGAGCAATGTCGCTGTCCATACCTCTAATGATAGCGCATATTCAGGGCTGCCATCTCCATGCTGCCATGTGGTGGAAGACGCCAATGAAACGGCTTCAGTCACGACTCCGAGCAAAGCTTCAGCGATTGGTTGGCTTCTTTCATCTGCCGGATCTTGACCGTGATCAGAACCGAAAATCTTTCGGCTCTCACGTCGGCTGTGGTGAAACTCACTGAACGGAATCGGGTTTAGGGTTGAGGGCTGTAGCTCCGGAAGGGCAATCATGACCGGGTAATCCTCAGGCGCGCGAAAGGAACTGCTTTCGGTGCAATTGCACCGACGGCCTACTTCACGGAACAAATCATGCATTGCTCGAGTTCGTCGAGCCGTGCACGGCATCGGAAAGGCAGTTGGACGGACAAAACCCCGAGAGAGATGCTTTGCATCCGCAGGTTTCCGGGCACAAGAAGGCGACTGGTCGGAAAAGGTCTGGAAAGCCCTCGCACCATTTTACGGAAGTGACAAAATCGGTGTCGTTGACTAGAAGCCTGGGACAACCCTCACTCAGCATAGCCTGAACGGTCTGATTCAACATCGTCAGCATGTTTGCTTGGGCTAAATTCTGACCGAAGAAGGAGGACACGACCGGCACGTAGTTCATCCAAAACGATCGCCATCCTTCGGATGTGGCCGCGACATCCGTACAGGCCGTCTCAGCCTCAGCCTCCTTCAGACAGCTTTCGGAGCACCCTTGCCGAGCAACCTTGTACCAGGTCGAGGTTCCGGCGGAAGCACAGCCGCAAGTCGCACCACAAAGGTAACGCAGCATCCGTGCCTCTGGCAAGTAGCAGAGGTCCTGCATCTCCTCACAAGTAGTGGCATTGCGGCCGAATCTCGCAACCATGGACTGAAAGCGTGGCTCGATCAGTGACATGGCCACAGGATCCCGGTAGACTCGACCTGTCTCTTGCAGGACCTGGGTCTCGAAGCAGATGGGGAACGTGGAAGCCTCCTCGGCCATTGTTCGGACCTGGTCCGTGTCGAAGGCCTGCGAGGTCGCTGAGAAGACCATGTATCGAGGAAGGGCTTCAGAACTGTGCTTAAACTCCTCCACGGCCACTTCGCTGGGAAGAAGCTCTATGCCTCTCTCTGACTGCGTCCGCAGCGCATAGGTCATCTGGATGTCCTGATTGTAAGCGACTACGAACTCCTGGGTTCCACCACAAAGCTCGTACTTCACCGCTTGCATGGAGAGGCCAAGTGGGGCCAGCATGAAGAGGTAGGGCAGCACAAGAGCAGAGGCGAGAAGGCAGAAGTTCAATCCGGACTCGACTTGGCTTCTGATCTGACTGATTTTCACCTGCATGGGCTCCAATCCCTGGATAAGCAATCTGGCTCTCAAGGGCGCCAGGGCATGAAACATGAAGTCGTCGATGTCCAAGATGGCCTGGAGCGCGACCGCATCGAGTATCAACGATGAGATAGATGTGGTGGATGCTAGAAGACGGATCCCGGCAACCAGCAAGAGGCAGTCCATGGCAAAGCACACGAACAAAATGGATCCGAAGCCATAGAAGCGGTTCTCGGAGAGTTCGGTGAAGCCGAAATTCTCGTTCATAATGGTGTAATCGGATCGTGGAATCCACGACCAAGCCTCCATGACTAGTCCCATGCGCCTGAGGTCCTTGTACACGCGCATGCACCACAGGAGGATGCAAAGCACGCTAAGCATTGTGCCTGGGCTGAATGAGCTCGGTTCAAAGTCGTCCAGGCCCAAACCCAGGAATTTGTTGATCTCCTCCACAAGCTCTGCTTGGGTCGTGGAAACGATGAGAGCGCCGTCCCCTCGGCAGACGCGCGAGGTGAGACTAGTCTGAGCGAGGTCCATGTGCCTCGAGTCGTGGGCCACGCTGGTGCGCCAGATTCTGGCAAGCTCCACCTTTTCCTCGAAAGGTCGCTCGAGGAAGAACTCGGACATCAAAATCATGACGAACGCCGCCTGCATGGCTAAGCTCACCAATGCCAGAATGAACGTGAAGCACGCGTCCCAGCTGCCAATCCTCCCGAGGCCAACAAGCGCAAAGTAGGTCCAGATGTCACGGTTAAAGGTCACCTGCATGTCATCTTCGGTGACAGCGTCCACATCTTGGGAATCCACGGAACGAACCTTTAGATAGCTTGGTCGACTCTTATCCGTGGCCTCCTCCTTCATAGAAATGACATCATGCATGTTTTTAGGCGAGGCGACAGTGACCTGAACCGATACCGACAAGCCGTCGGTCTCACTCAGGTTCTCTGCCAGGCCCAACTTCTCTTCGAGGACCTGGACACGATCGCGAAGCGGCTGCACGGCCATCTCCATCTCTGTGGTCAACATCATCTCGAGAGCCTTGAACCTGTCTTCAAGGTCCACTCCGCCCGTGCCTGCTTCGCACTGCAGGAATGCCAAAGCCATTGTGCGGCTGTCGAGAGAGGCCTGCGCCTAAACCCACTCATGCAGCCCTCTGGCTTGAGCCGTAGCCATTTTGGGTCTGAGCTCTCGACCGATGTAACAGCTGTTTCTTTTGCCACTCCGGTGGCACGCGTGCACACACAATGCCCGATTCGTTCCTCTCTCACTTCCCTCTGACGTCCTTGTCAAAACCGCGCATCTTCTTTCTAGAACGTACGCTTCGCTGAATGCGACCAGTGTCGTCCAAATACTTGATATATCCATTGATATCAAATCAGGCTCCACCTGCAGCGAGCCATCGATGAAGCCTGCTTGCTGGTGCGGAAGACTTCTGTGGAGGATCTGCGGACGAAACTAACCGCACAATTTCAGTTACTCTCACACGCGATGGACTGGGAACTAGCGGCTGTGTTGCCTCCCGCACTGTACCCACATGGCGGGGTTGAAATAAGTCCGAGTTGAAGGTGCCAAGTGTGGTGTGATCTACGCTCAGGAGGGCGACGAAGGAAAAGGGGCACTACTGCGCAGAGTTCCTCTACCTACAAGAATCAGCAGTTCGAGGTCCTGGGTCTTGAGATGCAGATTTCAACCGTGTATTTGTGGAAGAACCAATACCTATCTGGGTTGAAAACCGGCTGGTGGACTTTTCTGCTGCGCTGTGGCTCTTGGCACTTCTGCCAAGGCACTGGAGAAAGCGCCACGCAGCACGGCCGTTTGTGACCCAGAGGGATCCGGGTGCCCAGCTCCAATCCTAGATTTTGGCACTGCCCGCTTGACCGTTGAAGTTCTGGTGATCAACAACTTCATGTTGAGATGCATGAATCCACATAACCTACCCCCTCTGCGAAGCCGGGAAGCCATTGATGCGAGATGAAAACCACGAACATACCTGAGGAACGACAGGTTCGGAGATGCCCTAGCACATTCCTGGGCGCCACTCCTGGGTGCCACTCGTGAAGCAGCCCCTGGTCCATCAGGGCGTCGTGGGCCTCCCAGTCAGCAAAGACAGAAAGAACATCCCTTCGACAAATACGAGACTACAGGTCCTTCAGCCCTGTGAAAGTGACGATCATGGTGCTCTGGAAGGCCTGTGGCGGGCCCTCCATTTGCAGGAAATCTGACACCTGCAGGCATGAAAACTAGATCGCGTCTGTGCTCAAATGTTTGCTTTCCTCCCCCAGACTCTGCAGCACGGACGTCGTAGACGCTGCTCATCCCTGTATGGAATCTTTTTCCCGTCTGACATCATCGAGGACATGATGCACCGACCTAACCAGTTTTTGCATGAATATACAGGAGCACCAACGCCTCATGTGCAGTAGGGATTGATCGAAACCATGATCAAGCTCCTTTCCCGGAGGCCTTCACCACGTACATTGGGAATAGACATGGGTGCCTGGGCGAGATCTGTACACTGTACATCAGTGTAAGGTGTGTTACGGCACTTCGCACACTTGCAGAATCTTGCAGACAAAGCGACACCATCATGGAGCAGTTATTAGGGTCGCAAGAACCGGGGATGGGCTCGGGCTGCGGGGTACAGCAGCGAGACCCCATGGCGATGGAAACCACAGGGCGAGTCAGGTGCAACAGCTGCAAATGCCTGGGGCTTTTAACTTTGTTCAGGCAGTGGCATATCAGAAACTTCATGTCTGGAGCGCCTGCCTTGCGATTCTGCTTTGTCATCTCCCTCGCTCTTCAGGCCGAAAAGGCTACGTGCCACAAGTGCAACATTTCAGCTAACGCAGATTCCGATGCCAACGTGGTTTACTCACCGGCAGCATAGTTTAAGCAAGAGTTGCTTCGGCCCACCATCTCCTCAATAATTACGCTCTCACAACTCGGACATGCCTAATTCGTATGTCTTGCATGTTGTTGTGTGGTGCATGCTGCCGGGTCTTTGTGGACGACTTCTTTGGAACATCCACGGGCTCCATGGTGACGTTGCGCACGGTGCCTGAACCATGGACTCACCCGGTGCTCAAAAAGCAAAGTGCTTCCAAACTCAATCAATATGAAACATCAAAGCCTCCAGAAATCGTCTGGACTGTCTGGGGAAATCTGCGAACATGATCGGCCAGCCGTGCCACACCTGGAAGGATGTGCTGCCCATGTTCGTATCGGTTGCTTTGGCGAGCAGGAAGGAAAGAGTGAGCTGCGAGGCGACCTCAAAGAAATAACTGGCCCTAGGTGCTCTCTCGCCGACGAAACTAGGACCCGTATTCTTGCGAGAATAGAAATGAAGCTCAGCTGATGCCGGCAGCCAGAGCCTTCATGCAAAAACGCAACTGAAGATCCCTCACCGCCGTTGGCAAAGTCGGGGACCCAGATACATTGCAGAAAGTTCCCTGCTTGGCAGCCAAGACGCCAACGTATCGCCTCACAGCGCTTTCTGGGGAAATAGTCATGGTGCCAGTCCCAGTGTTAGAAAGTTCTTCAGATTCCTTCGTCGACCGAGCATGAATTTCACCGCGTTCTCTCGCTCGCGAGCGGGATAATGGAGTGGGCAAAACATAATATGATGGGAAGTGTTCTGTGCACTTCGAGTACTTGCACATGCACTCGCTCCCGCATGGAAAAAGGACAAGAAGGTGGGGCGAACGAGCCAATCAATGCTTGCAAACAAGGTCAGGCAGTTCCTTCCACCTTCCAACAGGTAGGCGACACCGCTTAAGTGTTAAGACGTGCTCATCCATTCTTCGACAGTGCATGAGCGAAAAGTCCACTTCTGCGTTGTCCGGCCGGCATATCCCGAAGTCGGACTTCAGCCATGTGGCGTCTCCTCCGGACGCTCACCGTTGGCATGGCCTGCGGGTCACGGAACGGATGCTTTCGTGCATGCAACCGGCACTTCCAAATCTGTCCTGCGTCGCTGTTGCAGCTGAAAGACGGGTCAGCTGTGTGAAGCCTTTGCACAGTAGCTTTCAGAGCGGCGGTACACGCGGTTCCCTTAAAGCATCGATCTCGCGGAATGCGGATGGCAACCGCTTGGATGCTGGCCAGCGCACAGGCCGCAGCGGTGAAGCGGCTCTTTGGGGAACTTCGGGCAATGGCCTCAAGCATTCAAGTTGCAGTGTCCATCGAACATATGCTGCAACCTATGTGGGATATTGTTTGAGTCAGCGAACATCTCGTCCATCAGCTGAAAGGATCCACGGCCTCCATGGCTCCGCAGCAATGCGACCACTTCTACGATTGACTCACCAAGGCTGGCATCTGCCAGAACTTAGGAGATCTGAGGTGTACCCTGCCTGGTCCTTCACAACTCCTGGAGGCATCCGCAGCCGGGTGCCTAGGCCTCAGCCGCAAGTCCGCCGGTAATTTGGACGTGGGTTGTCTCTGCCACTGAGCATCGTGCCAACGAACCTGCCGAACCGGCGAAACAGCTCGCTGCGGGACGGGGACCTCCTGCATAGGCCTGATGGCGAGTTGTCCGCGCGACAAGTCGGGTTGGATACCACCGCTCTTCCTGCACCCAGAATTAGGCACGATTCCTAGTGGTCGCACCTCCCTGGCCACGGCTCCAGGATCGGCCTGGACATTGGCTGCTGCACGACACTTTTTAGGAAAACTTGCTGCGGTGGGAGTATAGAAACATGCCTTGCAGCTGGCGCGACGAAGGAGCCAGCCCTAAGTCACATGACGGCACCGAGAAACTCTTGTCAGCCAATGATACAGCGATACCCAAGACTCCAGTTCAGCAATGTCGGATTGGGTTCGAGGCCACCCTTCACCGCCTTCACTAGCTTCATATTATGACTTATTGATGGGAAGGAATGCTGAGAGCTTGACAGTGGCAGCTGCCGCGCGGCGTAGACTGGCGAGCCTCTTGCCGTTTTTTGTCTTCCGCTGCCAGGGGCTCAGAGAGGCCAATGGACAAAGGTTAGATTGACGTCGCTCTGCAAAGCAAAGCTCGAAATTTTGTCGACTGTCTTTGGACAGTACTTTAGCCTTCTCTTGGGGTGCTGCTTGCCCACGTGTCGTCGCAAGTATACCAGGCAGAGGCCAGGCAAGGACAGGCCAACGAAAGCTCCCCCAAAGTACGAGACAGAAGTGAGCTCGGCGCAGGGCATTCTAGTGAGCGAGTGCTCTTCATTGTCACGGTCAGTGCCACTGTTGGTGTCCATGCTGCTCTTACGTTAAGGTTCTTCATGCTGGCATCGTGTTGTTCATAGACTTAGACCTTGCTGTCGCATGTGTTGTCCAATAGGGAAACCCCGAATATCTAGATAAATTGACGCCAAAGCAAATCCAAACTAAGCCAAGCCAAACCGAGGGACATGCGAAACGGGTGCGGAGACTTGGACGTTGGGGGGAGAGCGTTCCCGACGCACGCTCGCTCGGCGCCTTTGTGATGCGCAGGTCGTGGCTCGCGCGAGGACGCGGGAGAAGGATGGTGCACTTGGCACGCAAGGGACATAAATCATTGGCTGCACAGGGCACAATTCTGATACTGACACTGTCATTGTTGACCCCTCCCACCGAAACGCGGAATCCTGGAACCTTCCAGTCCCGACCGCCCCTGTCCAAACCAATAAAAAAATGGCCTGGCGTCTGCCTGAGAAGCTCCACCTGCCGAGTTGCAAACATGTCTGGCTGCTGCGATGATTGGTCGCCCCTGCACCCTCAACCGAGAAAGAGCCAACAGCAATGAGGGTGAACGCCGGGCAACCCTCTCTTTTGCTCGAGTGGGCGAAACAAGCAGAACAACAACTACAAGAAGAAGAAGAAGAAGAGCAACAGCAACAGCAACAGCAGCAGCAGCAGCAGCAGCAACAGCAGCAACAGCAACAGCAGCAACAGCAGCAACAGCAACAGCAGCAACAGCAGCAACAGCAGCAACCGCAGCAACAGTACCACCACCACCACCACCACCAACACCACCATCACCACCATCACCACCACCACCACCAACAACAACAACACCACCATCACCACCACCACCACCAGCAACACCACCACCGCCACCACCAGCACCACCACCACCACCACCAACAACAACAACAATGGCAACGGCAACGGCAACAGCAACAGCAACAGCAACAGCAACAGCAACCACCAACAACCAACAACCAACAGCCAACAGCCAACAACCGACAACCAACAACAGCAACCAACAAACAACAAACAGACAACAAGCAACAACAAACGACAACAAACAACAACAAACAACAACCAACAACAACCACCACAGCAACAACCACAACAACAACAATAATAACAACATTATTCATTATTTCAGTCAAACGCATCGGGTGGGATGATCGCAACTCTGTGCAACTCTTCCTCGCTGGGCGAGTGTCTGACCTACCCCTGCACGGAGCAAAAAAACAAACAGAGACACAGCAAGTACAAAGAAGAAAGCAGCCCGACTTGCCAGCAAAAAACAGGAACGGAGAAGCCACAGATGACCGTAAATACCCACAGAAGTCCAAACAGCCATGTGCCAAAACTCGAGTTTGAGCACATTGCAGCCCTCAAATCGCTCCACCCTCCGCGGCGGGAAACGCAACATCTGCCAACAAAAACAACAACAAGAACAAGGTGCACTCGTACACTGCGTACCCGTACCCCCCGAGCAACCAAAGCGTAGTCTCTTTCGACTCACACACTCGCAAAGAGGGTTTAGGGTTGCGATTCTCACTCGCGGTTTAGGATTTATGGGGTTACACTCACAACTCGGAGAATTTTAGGCGAGGTCTAAGGTGTTTTTTTTTTTTATGGCCTTTATCCGTCTTCCAAAGGGCTTATTGTTTCGGCGCATAGACTTGGACAATCCAGGCGAGGCGTACGGTCTTGAGTCGGCATCCTGAAACTGCAAGAATATCTGCAACAACAACAGAGTGTCGCCCTTCCTCTCGGTCCGACTTCCTGCATACATGAGGTGACCCAGTTCAGGACTTCCGGCCCTCATCTACATAGGATCACTCAAGGGAGGAGGAGGAGGAGGAGTACTAGATGGGTTCGACAGGGGGTACTCAGGAGCAGGATGCTCCAGGATGTTGTGATCCCAAAGGAACTGCTACTAGATATTGATCAGGTGAGCAGTGCCATGGGTGTGAGGACCCGAAAACAATGTGGAACATAGGCGAATACGTAAAAGACGCAGCCATGGCAGCAACAACCCGCACGACTACTGGGAGGATTTTAGTATTTTAGTATTTTAGGATTTTAGGATTTTAGGATTATGGGTGCGCAGCGCACGGGTCTGCACAAAACCAGCAACAACACCAACAACACTAACACTCCCAATAGAACCTCAGAAAATGTGGGGAAACGAAAACCAATCCTAGACATACAAACAGTGCTTGATGTTCTCCTTCCGTGACATGGGCCATCCTCTTTCAGTCTATCCTGCAGCCAACGGCCCGAGGTTGGGGCAAGCCTGCTGCGACACGGGCGCTTGGACGGAGCCAGACTGGCTCGCGATCTTCTGAGGCCTGCATAGAAAATGGTGAGCGGCCTTTGCCCAAAATCCCCAGAACTACTTGCAATTTCCTCTCGAACCGTCTGAAACCACTCTTCCAAGCTGCCTCGTAGAGGCGTCTGCTCTTACACTACTTCAACCTCGGCTTGTCTCGAGGACGGGCGAAAGGCCCATCTTCCGACACTGACCTGACCACCTCGCTCCCGTGGCCTGAACACAGGAATCATGTTCTCCGCCTGGGGGTACCGTGCAAGGCCTCGGGAGCCACACCGATAGAATTGCACTGACCCTTTGACTGCAGTGGTGGACTCCATGTGGTCTGACTCAGTGTTTCCTTTCGTTCCCTCTACTCACTCTACTCGTCCTCTGCTCGTCGCCACTCCTCATCACCTCAGCGTCTGGATCACTCTGCAGGCTCCGGCCGATGCCAGGCATCTCGCGCGCCCCTGCGCCAGGCGTGGGAGGCTGCCTGTGTTGGCTCCTCTGCCGAAGAGCCCACGACCAAAACACTAGCTGGGTGGGAGCTTCACTGTCTGGCTTCTGAAACCGCACATAAACAAGCCTGTCCTACGAATGGCGTTGCACCAGCATGCTTGGGTCGTGTGGCTTCATGCTCGCACTTTCCACCAGTACTTAGGTTGCGC